AGGAATGCTTTTATGTAGCCCCAGACCTCATTCCCAAGAAAACATACGGAACTTCACTGCAATTCCCCCAAAAATGTAAGTGATTATATTATGGCTGCATCAACTTATCAGGAGTCATGTGTTTCAAATATACACAAGATAAACTAATTATTTAATAAACTTTTTTTTTCCACTTGAGTGTCACAGTCCTGTACGACAATAATGGAAGGTGGGTCACGCCATATGGTCCCAGGACAGCCACTGAGGAATTTTTGGTGGACAAAGTGGCACTGATAATGTTTTTGGTTTTTCCCTGACAGTGTCGCTGAAGACCTGCTCCACAGACACTCATGATTCATCTGGGGGCCCGTTAGTAGACCTTTTAGCCACTACAGATCCATAGAGACAGTCTTCCATTTTGCAACGATAACAATAGGCAACAGACTGCAATAACAGAAACAAAATATTATGATCCTTTTAAAAAAATATCTCTTTCCCCTTCCTGAAATTATCAATCAAGGAGGTTTTACATGATCAGTCTCGTTCCTTGAAAATTAGGGGCCACAGAATATCTTTCATGGACAGTTAAAATATTATTGTTATGGGGTGTCTTCGCTTTCATTGCAGTTGTAGTGGGCAGTAAGGAAATTGACACAACAACTAAGCTTCCCTTTTCTATCACTGGTAAACAGAACATGCGATGAGACTACGTCTGTGTGGAACTGCAACCGCTAACAGGGCTGTTGTCTATCCCTCAGATAATACATGAATAATTATGCAGCAGCGTTGATGATAATGGTGAAGAATCAAAATACTCGGAGAGAAACCTGTCTGAGTACCACTTTGCCCACCACAAATTCTGCATGGACCAACTCAAGCGCAAACACAAGGCTCCGTATTAAGAAACCAGCATCTAACTATGTGACTTATGTCACAGCCATCAGCTTTAATAGAGAAACAACTGCCTACAAGATAAATGGTATATTCTAAAAGCTTGATACTCAGTAGCTAATAAGGTACATTCATTATTTTCAGGACACACCTCCAAATGAGTGACAGATAAATGTAACGGCATCAAAGGACAGAAATGTGCTGGTCGTGACTAGCTTGGTCGCTGGATTGCTATTGGAAGACCAGGTGCCCACAGGAAGAATGAGAACAACGCATACCACGACATGGAGGGGCAGAGACCTCCACAATCAGCACAGAACAATTTACTGGGAGTCAGTCAGAATAATGCGGCCATGAGTTGAAACACCACGTGGACTTGTAGGTACATACCTAACTTTTGGAGAAACATACTGCCTTGAACTTCAATACCTCATGGGCCCATCCATGTCTGTCTCCTTTCCCCACTTTCAGCCATCATGCAAGTGCTACTAGTAAACATGACCCTACAGCTTCCGTAGCAGGGCTATTTCTCCCTAGACCTTGCAGATGGGTTTGTTCTGAACAGCTTTGCCAGCCCAACCCCTTCCCCCTTCACCTCCTCCTGTGAGGTTTACGAATCCCTGGGCTTCTACCATTTCAGGTTAGATGTCCCAAGCCATGGTACTATCCCACCTGAGGAGCATCCATGTAATGTCCCCCACGCTTTACATAATCATAATTTTAACCCTAAGAGCTTTAATCCCAACCCATGTCATGTGTGACGACATAAGTGGGATGTATCCTCAGGGTGGTGGTCCCAGTGTTACCCTGGCCCGATTCTTCTGACTCGAGACGCAAGCCTGGGGATTTCCGAACCTATGAGTAAAATATAACCTAGGTGGGGCAAGCCTAGAGGGCAGAGCCCCAAAGTCAGGCAAGCCGAATGTGGTGAAGGCCAAGGTAGGAACAGTCCTGCTGAGGGAAGACCTAGGGTGGAAGCCTGCATCCAGTAGGGGAGAAACCTTCATAGTGCATGCTCCTGAATTGGGGAAACTCTAGGGTCATTCCTGAGTCAAGGTTATGGCTAAAAGTGAGATGGGCCTATAAGGTGTTGAACATGGAGGCAGTATGTTCTTCCAAGACACTGGTATCTGTAAGTCCACACGGTGTTACAACCCAGTGTAGTAGCCCAACGCTGAAGCAATTCAGAGCATTCTGTTGGATTTTAGGCTCTTTTTTACACTATTGTATTTGAAGTAGTAGCTATTGTTACCTGATGACCAAAACATTCAGCTTCACAGTTACATCATCTTTCAAGACATGGTGCACACCACATTATGTAACACGTGGTTTTATGATTAATTAAATTATAATCCAAGGACAAAATATCATTGTACTTAGATTTATGAACCTTATTTATAACTATCCCTCCCCCCCACAAAAAAGCCTCTAACCACCTACACCTGCCACTTTCTCACAAATAGTTAGGGTGAGATAGGTAATAATTCTGGTTATCACGGCTAATTTGGGTAACTTAATGGAGAGTTAGCTCATGTGTGATCAGTCTTACCCAATGAATGAATACATGTGAAGTCTCAAGATGGAAGTTCGCAGATTTTGTGACAGGAATGTATCTCACGAATGAATGATACAGAGTTTGCTGCGTTATGACTCGCGTCAAGAAATCTTAAATCAGCACACTGCCACTAAGATGTTCCGTGTGATTTAACTGGGACTTCAGTTGTTTTTTAATGTTGGGTTCATTTTAGAATTTGCGGAGTTCTTGAAGTTTTACGTGAAATATGTATAATGTATCGGTGACGTAGTTGTTACAATAAATTCAGATGGAGGAATTTGGATTGAGAGCTGTGCCAGTATTCACTGAAATGTTGCACAGAAGTGTCTTCAGACTACGTGTCCACTCACAAGATGGTGATGGTAGCCAAGTTCAACACTCTGAATCTGAAGCAATCTTCCTGTTGGCAGATTCGTCAAATGTTGCAGACATTCTGCCAGGTTCCCGTTTCGAACTCGTTGGTTGGTCATGACGAAACATGACCCACTAAAAGGCCCCTGCAAGTACCGGGTCTTCAATTTATGCGGTAACGGCCATGCTTGCATTGCGTGATCGGCCGGTACACTGTTGACGTCGGCAGGACTGATGCGTGTTCTTCCCGTGAGTCACAGGCGAATCAGTTTCGGTGCCGCTAATCAGTTTCAGTGCCGCTAGTAACAGCGAACTACGAATATTTGTCGTCACTAATACATGTTATTACATTAGTTGTTTTTACCTTAAATCACAAAAAGATGTTCAAAGTGACTTCCTTATGCTTGCAGGCAAGTTTCACATCTCGTTAACATGTTTCTAAATACTCGACGAAGCTCTTCTGGGGTAATTGTCGAAATCAGTTGTCGAATATTTTCTTTAAGTTGCTCTGCAGTGTGCGGATTGTTTACATAAACTTTATTCTTCAGCATGCCCCGCAGGTAAAAATAGCACGGGTTTAAGTCTGGGGAACGCGGAGGCCACTGATCGATAACGTTTTCACCAAACACTTCTCTTAATGCTAACATCGACCGATTAGTTGTGTGAGCTGTAGCATTGTCTTGCATGAAGAAACCGTAAGTCTTTTCTTCATCGGTAATTTCTTGGAAAAAGGGTCTAAGTATTAAATTTACATAAAGTTCAGAATTTATTGTTTTATTATAAAAGATTCGCCCTATTATTCTCTTGGAGGTAACTGCACACCAGACTCCAACCTTAATGTCATGAAGAGAATGTTCATGCAACTGATGTAGATTTTTGGAACTGTAGTAGCGGTTGTTTTTGACTGTTGACATATCCACTTAAATGCAGCCATGCTTCATCACTAAAAAAACAATAGCTCTGGATTAACAATCCCATCATGCACGGATCCCAACAACCAATTGCAGAAACGAATCCTAGCACCAGTGTCAGGAGTTGTGAGTCTCTGAACAACAGTGGTCTTATATGGTCACAATTTCAGAAGTCTCGTTGCTGTGTGAGCAGATCCCAATGACACGCCAGATTGTGCAGCTAAACGTGCCAAAGATTTCCTTGGACTTTTTTCTAAGAAATCCCCAATTTCATCCAATTTCTCTTCCGTCAATACACTCCGTTTCCTGTTCTTTTTATCCAAAACTGATCCCGTACTACGAATTTTTTTTACTAATCTCTCTATCATGGGCCTGCTAGGAACACTTTCACCTGGAAAATGTCTGCGATATTTACGGCGTCATCTTCCGTAAGATGAATATTTGGCATATGTTTCGACTAAGAACACATGTTGCTTAATACTATACACCATATTATCAACGTCAATCCGCGACGAGAGACGCAATGAAACAGATTCGCCTGTGACTCACGGGAAGAACGCGGAAAACTCCCGCCCACACCAACAGTGTATCCGGCCGAGCACGCAATGCAAGCATGGCCGTTACCGCATAAATTGAAGACCCGGTAGTAAAAGAGTGTGTTGATGACTACTCATGTTCATTGAAATGTATATTGTCTGTCGCATGCATAAGGCACCTCAGAGTTGGGGAGATGACAGATCTCTCAACATCCAGTCTAATACAGCTTCAGAATCTAATACGCATGTAATGAATTTCCGATACATTTTGTTATAAATTTGTATTATGAAAGCTGCTGTCCAATATAAAAATCTAACTTTATATATAGATTGAAACAAATTCCAAATGTCTATTTCATGTCTATCTTCGGGTAGCCTGTCGTGAATTGAATTCTCAATTGGTTAAGTAGGAAAGGTGTCCCGATGTGAGGTTATACTCTTATGTAATAGTATACATTCAGGTTATCAATGGTTTTAGGTAACATGAATTGCTACTTGAAAGGAAAGCCCCTGATATTAAAAGACGTATATGTTGCTTACTGCAGCTGCTGGAGGAAGTCTGAACGTTTTTGTGACAAGGGTAGGACATTAGTTCACAGGTGGTGGTTGGATAATAGGATGTTTGTTAGTTTCAAAATAGGCAAAAATCTAAGCGTTGCTAGACAAAGATAAGTATTGTTATTATGCTGCTTCCAGAAAACATGACTGGTTTATGCGACTATTTTGGTATCAGAGGTTTTAATTTAGTTTTGGCAACAAATGTAATTTCGGTTCTCACAGCGGTGAGTATGAATATTTCCGTCTTCTGGGTTGTTGCGCTGTGTAGTCTGGTCGATGTTAACCAACGTTTCAGAGGTCATACTGCCTCCGTCATCGCCCTGATGACGGAGGCAGTGTGACCTCCGAAACGTTGGTTAACATCGACCAGACTACACAGCACAAAAACCCAGAAGACGGAAATATTCAAATGTAATTTTATTATTTATAAAGATTTACAGTCTTCCCCTGTTAAAAATCCCTGAAGAGAAACATACACAAATGGTTAACCACGCACTGTAGCGAGTTCTACAACTACCGCTATTACTAGGTTATAAATAAAAATCAAATATTTTCAATACCGATTTTAGTTTAATAGCCTACAACTTCCTTCAGCTTATTACCTTGTTGCGTCTGCAGTTGGTCCCACACTTTCAACTTTCACTAACGCACGTTTCCACATACGTTCAGGTCATGTTCAGGCCCATTTTTATAATCTTAATACAAAAACTGCCGTCATGTATGACATTGGAATAAAAGCTACTACTAGTACATATAATTGCTATGATTCTCGCCGAATGTAGTGATCAGTGTGCAAAAATGTTTCACATTAAAAAGTAGATATTATGTACTACACGCTCTCTCTCTCATCTTTCATTTTATGCATTTAGACCAGCTGTTAATAGCAATTACTCTGCGATTTCCTATTACTGCATTATTTAATACACAGAAAAAGATAGGTGACCTTGATCTTTTGGAATTTCTCGTAACTACAAATCCATGTAAAAATAATAATGTATTTCATCATTCTTTATGCTTAAATATCGTATGCACATACAAAATCTACTGAAGAACTAATCAACCATGGATCTTATATTTTAAATGAACAACATATAAAAAGTATAGTTTAAAATCCAGTATAGTTCAACAAGATATTGAATAAAATCACAAAAAGAAGCTCTATAACCTAAACACGTCATTCCTTATTACTATTAAGATAATAAAATCAAGGTAAATGAAATGGGTGGGGCATAGAGCACGCATGTGGAGATGAGAAATATGTACAAAATTTGAGCTGGAAAACCCGGATAGAAAAGACTGCTAAGAAGATCTATTCAAGACGACAGGATAATATTAAAACAGCTCTTAAAGTAAGAATGATGTGATTTGGATTGATTCGTCTCAGAATGGTGGCCGTTTGCTGACTTGTGAACACTATAATGAACACGTAAAATACGGCAAAATTAATAACCAGCTACGCGTACTTTTCGCTTCATCCAACCGTCCTACATAAATTGTGCACGCTATTTCCGGTACGAACACGTAGGACCACTTACCGGAAAGCTAACGACCCCTTGATGTCAGGGAGAACATTAAAATGTTGAAATCGACTGTATGAAACTTTCGAAATTTCGCATTATAAATAATGTTGGCAAACTTGGCCACATCAAGAAAATTTCTAAAAATGTATGTCTACTTTTAATCAATTAAAAGTAGACTACAGTTACGTTGATGGCCTTATTCATATATTTTGTAAAATTTAATTACACTTCTAAACTTGCAGACACGTTAAAATTACATTTGTTGCATCACCATTGATTCAATGGTGATGCAACAATGGTGGGTTATTTGGATGATTAGTTCACGTTATGCATCAAAAAACCACTATTTGCAAGTAGATACTTATTATTATTTATTTAGTGTTCTGTCTGACGACAGGTCCATATGAACAGGATCCTTCCATCCTTTTCTCGGACTGGGACCTGTTCATATACGTTCTTGGCAGATGATCCAGAAGGTGTTTGCCATT